GTTCCAGCTTTACCGGGAGGAGGGATGGGAGGTGGGGGGTCATAATCCAGCTCTAAGATGGAAGGGAATAATTAAAGAAGCAATGCTAGAGGGAGATTTTGAGCCGTTAGGTGTTAGTGCTTACCCTGTGTTCGTGGATGGGGCAGGTAATAAGGCATGGGAAGCTCTGGATTGGAAAATCATTAAGGAAGCAAAGACAACTGTGTCACAGTATGGGTTGAGATCAAGTTGTACACAGTCTGTAATGCAACATCTTTTTACAGCTAATTTGTTAACACCATATGATACACTTATGATTGTTACCATGTTGTTAACTCCTTCTCAACAACTTCAGTTTTTTAACAGGTGGACTACTGACTGTGCTGCAGCCGCAGCCCAGCCGAGGCAGCAAGGAGACCCACTATATGGAGTAACTTCTCAAATGCTAATGGGATCTGGTCCTTATGAAAGGGTAGATTGGCAAGCACAATTTGATTATAATTATATTTGTAATGTATGTTTACATCTGGACAGTAACTTGTAACCAGTTGTGTGCATCTGGTCATGAGACCTTGTATAGAGAAACTATAAAAGGTCAGAAAGTGGACATATTGGAGATCTTATAGATCGTGTGCATATGTACCCTAAGCCCCTCCATCAACAGCTGCTCCCATTGGTAAGCAATTACCAATTAGGACTTTCCAAAGGACTGTCTCCTAAGTCAGATCTGCTTGAATACACTTCTATAGTCTGTAAGCAATCATACTCTGGGGTTTCTTTTTTTGTGGTTGTGGGAGTTGATAGATTGCTTTTTTCCATTCCTGTCCCAGCCTCCGTTGTCCTTGGAGAATTTCAAAACCCAGGTTTGTGGTGTGGACTACTTGTGCTTTTTTTTTGGATACCCTATAATCACTCAATCCAAGGAAATTCAATAGTGCCACGGTCTGATCCAAACATTGCTGTTTAGCTTCAGTGACTATTAAAATGTCACCTACCTACTGTAATAAGGCTCCAGTAGGGTTTTGATCTCTCCATTCCTCCAGTTCTTTTGCCAATTGATTTCCAAATATTGTGGGGCCATTTTTAAACCCCTGTGGGAGGACTGTCCAAGTCAGCTGGGTTTTCCTCCCTGTGTTTGGATTTTCTCATTTCAAAGAAAAAAGCTCTTGACTTTCAGAACTCAAAGGGATACAGAAAAAGGCATTTTTCAAATCAAATATTGTTAACCACTTTAAACTTTCATTTAGGGTAGTTAGCCAAGTGTAAGGATTCACTACTAGTGGACATATATCTTCTATTATTTTATTTATAGCTCTAAGGTCCTGTACCAACCAGTAATCCCTTTTGTTTGTCTTCTTGAGTGGAAAAATGGGAGCTTTAAATTTAGATTCACATTCTTTTAAAAGGCCAAATTTCATACATTTCTCTACAAGGGGTAATAACCCCTTATGACTTCCTATTTTCAAAGGATATTGTTTTTGCCTTACTGATCCTGCTCCAGGTTTCAATTTAATTCTCAGGGGTTCTGGTTTTTTTTTTGATCTCCCAGGCACCTCTCCAGCCCATTCTATAAGAAACACTGAATCCTCAAGTGATGTTGGCAGATGGATTACTTCCAGTTTTGGAGACTGTAATGCAAAAATAGAAACTTCCACATAATTAGACTTTGGAATAATAACCTGCATCATAGTGCTTGTAGTCATTTGACCCTGGCCAGATGCCAGTACCCACTGAAAGCCACTTCCCCCCCCCTCCAAGGGGGCAGAGGAGAGAAAAAAAAAAAAAAAAGAACTAGAAGGCAGTGTTAACAGGCAAAACAAACTCAGAGTGAGAATACCACTTAGATTTATTACTAACAAACTAAAAGCTAAATTAATTGCTAACAGAATAAGAGCTAAAGAGTAAAAATAGAACAATCTTAAAGCACAACACCTTCCCCCACTCCTCTTTCTTTGCAGATCTCCTCTCCTTCTCCCAGCGGTGCAGTGGGACAGGAAAAAAGGGGGTTTGTTGTTGTTTAAGTCCCTCCCCTGGGCTGCAGCTCTTCTCATTCTGTTGTCCTGTAGGTTGCTCCTCCATGGTAGTATCAGGGGACACCATGGTCTTCACCATGGGCAACAGGGGGACATTTCTAAGTCCTTCCCCTGTTTCCATGGGGTCCCTCTCACGGGAGACAGCCCCTGATGGACTTCTCCAGCATGAGTCTATCCCTTGGGCAGCAGTTCTTCCCAATCTGCTGTCCCATGGGTCATTCCTTCACAAATGGGCTGTATTGGCATGGGTCCCCCACAGGGCCACAAGTCCTACCTGTGAAAATTTGCTTCAGTGTGTTTTCCTCTCCACTGGTCACAGGTCTCCTGCAGGACTTTGCTCTATCCTTGGGCCTCCCACGGGGTCACAACTTCCTTCATGTAACCACCAGTTTCAGCATGGGCTCTTTCATGAGCTGCGGGGGGGGGGGGAATCTCCGAATTCCACCAACGACAGGGGCCTCAGCTCTCAGTCTTTCCCCTGCTGGAGGGGGAGAGGATGCCCCCCCCCAGGCCCCTCCTCCCCCCTCCTGGAGCTGACCTTGGAGTCTGCTTCTTATCCCATGTTCTCCTCTGCTCTTCTCTGGGCTCGAATTTCTTCTGCCACATAGTCTTCTCTTCCTCTGTTCTTAAATATGTTATCACAGAAGCGCACCTTCATTGGCTCAGCCTTGACCAGCAACAGGAAAGTCCCTCCTGGAGCTGACTATCATTGGCTTTTTCATAGGACAGTGAAACTTCTGGCAGTTTCTAACTCAAACCACCCCTATGGCCTCCCTACTACCAAAAACCCAGCCACCTGAATCCACGACAGTGCTTCACCACCAAAAACTGTAACCTTTGTTCTTTATCTTATTTGGGTACACAGAGCTTGGTTTACATCCTGTTTCTCTGAGATACATCCCTTATCTAATTCTCTAGGACTTCTCTAGGATTATATTGTTCCTTATTTTGGCATTCCAGGATACTGTGAGTCAAGTTTCTATTTCTCCTATCACTGGGGTCGACATCTGAACCAAAAGACCACACATCACAATCTGGCAGATGCCAGATTCAACCATTCAGAATATCAAAGCCCAAAATGTTTTCATTTTGATCTTTGATTACAAAGTGAATAGCCAACAGCCATTCCTTGCTTAGGGACCATAAATTATTCTTAGCAGTTTGGTAGATACTGTTTGCTTCTGTTACTCCAAGGATTTTAACTGCTGTGCATGTTTTAATCCCAGCTTCTTGGCATTTTGCTGTGTTAATAGTGAATGTTGTGGTCCTGTATCTATTAAAATTTTATTAATTATTGACAAGAACCAACTGGAATCCCAAGATATTGATAGGATTCTGCTTGCTGGTGAAAATTAGGCACTTGAATCACATTGAATTGAGTTGTTTTTTGGGTGTGATTCTCTTGTCGACTCCGAGATTTATTAGTGGATTCAGTTTCAGGAATGTCAGGGGAATTGTGAGTCTGTATAAAAATCATTTTAACTTTAAAGTCTCCTGGTTTCCTTAAATATTTCTCCTGTAATTTTACCAACTCTGTTGGAGACCAGGGAATAGTGTGTCCAGTAGTACAGTTACTCTCATTAGATTTAGAGCAAATATTCCCATTCCAAGTCTGGATATCCAGACAAGACATTGATTTATGAAGCTGCCTGATTAAAAAGAGTTTCTGTTTTTCTAGCAGCAGTTTTCTTTTGCTCTTCGCAAGCAAAGATTTAAGGTCATCCACCTCTGCTCTAAGCAGCCCATTTTTAGCAACAAGTTTGGAAGCTGGAGCTTCCAATTTTTCTCCTGTTTCCCTCTCAAAGGCTAACGATGGCTTTAGGACCTCATTTTATGATTTCAAAACAGTATATTCAATATCAGTAATTTTTTCAGAAGCAGGTGAATTTTTAGCCTCTTGTTGTGCACGAGGACAAACAGGTTCTTAACACTGCAGAAATTGCACCTTTACCCTTTCCTTCCTTTTCTGCTCAGCCCGACATTGTGCAGTGTATCCTACAACTTCCTCTTTAACTTTCCAAAACCTTTGAACACACTCCTTCCCAGCCTGGGAAGAGGCACATTTGTATTTTTGCAGCAGATTATCCATGACAACCCCACTCCTGGTACCAATTTTAATGTCACTTGAAAGGTGGGGACATGATTTGCCCAACAGAGAGAGGAGATTTTCTCGACCCTCAGTGATTTATTTGTCTGTCAGAACCCAGGGAAAATGAAACCCTTTATGTCTGATCAGTCTGTCAGGTGTACTGTAAGGGGGGGACCCTTCACCAACAGATTCACAAGACCACAGGGTGATTTGATCGCCCTTTTCAGGGGTCTGAGTGAACAGCATAGGGAAGACCCCTCAGGGGGCCTTCCAATGTCATTCTGCTGCCAGCAAACTGTCAGCACCTTATAAAGGACTCACAGTTTACAGAATAGCACTCTTTATTAATACAGATTGTGACAGGTTCATAAGGTTCATAGGTGGTCAGTGATAGTGTCTAACTGCAAAAACTTGTTTAAAGCAATCTAATAATACTATAAAGCAAGCAGAAACACAAAGCAATCTACCAATATACTATTGTGGTGGGTTGACCTTGGCTGGATGCCAGGTGACCACCCAGCCACTCTATCATTTCCCTTCCCAGATGGACGGGGGAGTGTCGAAGGTGGACCAGCAGAAGCCTACAGAGAAGAGAGAGAGATGCAAAAGAGCTGCCCGGAAGGCTCAGAGGAAGAGATCCATCTAGAAGTGCCTTGACAACTGCAACTGCAGGATGTACCTGAAGCCCAGCGATAAGAAGCAGCCTCACAGCCTCCACAGAATTCCCCTCTCCTGGGCCCCCAGACCTTCCTTTCCTCCCTAGCTCTCCCTTCCCCCTGTGTGACCAGATATATTCCCCACAACCTATCCCTCCAAGTTTCCTTATCACTGACCCTCAGGATTCGATGTTTCCTAGCAAGAAACCCACCTTAATTCCAGAACCTTCTGTATTCCCCTGTATATAAACTGACATCTTGTTTTAATAAACGCCATTTAGCGGGTCACCCTCCGTGTGCCTATTTCCTATACAAAGTGGCAGCAAGGGTCTGTCGCGGGGACGAACCCCCACTCGCGATAGGGGAGAGAGTAAGATGGAAAACAACTTGTGGGTTGGGATAAGGCAGTTTATTAAAGCAAAAGGAAGGCAGAACCTTGTATGCGCAAAAACAAAGTGAAAAATAACGAGGTTTATTCGCTACTTCCCATCAACAGCTGTGGCTGGTAATTTCTGAGAAGCAGGGCTTCAGCACCTGTAATGATTCATTAGCAGGCAGTCATTGGAGACAATGAATGCCCCCAGTCTTGCTCCTTTCCTTATCTTTTATATCTAAGCTGCTGTTGTATGGTATGGAATATCCCTTTAGTTTGGGTCAGCTGGCCTGCTTGTGTCCTTTCACAGAAGGAATGTTACAGTACTGATGCTGTGCTCAGCAGTAGCCAAAACACTGGTTTGTTATCAACACCCTTCTAGGTACCAATGCAAAACACAGCACTGTGAGGGCTGCTATGGGGAAATGAACTCCATCTAATCCAGACCCAATACAACAATAAAGCAAAACATAAGCTCTAGTCCTGAAAGCAGCATTTAGTGTGCATAGAATCAGTTTCTTACCCAGTAGGCGACCCTATGGAGGGGGTTAGGTTCAACCCATTAGCTGATCCCAGCAGTTTAGGTGGAGTCTTCCTCCAATTTTTCCCTAGTTCCAACTTACTTTTATACTATTTCCTTATGTTTAGGTGGAGCTTGAGTGACCTTAGTCATAAGTACTTAATTGAATAGTTGTCCTTGGCATCTATCACACTCGGTGGACAGATATGATGCAATCTTTGAACTACAAAGTGTCACCATGTTCCCCTCCCTGCAGGATGTTTATGGAGGGAGGCTGTCGCGCCTTCACGCTGCTCCCTCCTCTGTTGCATCCCCCATAGCATGTGCTTATCATTGTTTAGGGAATGTTCATAGGGCATGTTGACCATGTTCCATTCGGGAAGCAGCAGGTGCATTTTACCCTGTAATTCTCATTCTCCTCTAATTTTTTAACCCTATCCATTGTTCCACAACTCTATTCAAACTCATACAAAATTACTAGAAGGTCTTAGACAAAAGCCTATCTATTTCTCAGATGGAACTCACTACTGCTGGATGTAAATTTCCGTATGATCAGATGTCAATATTAAAACCTACAAATGGCATCACTAGGGAAACAGTCTCAATAGAAAACACATCTACAGATTACCATAGAAATTTAGATGTGTTATTACTCATGAGGGTCTTATTGCTCCTGGTGGTCTTATTCAGATAATGTTGATAGACATGGAGTGCACAAATGGTATAGTTATTATGACATTTGTCTTTTGAAGCAATCACTATGCATAATGAAGCCCTGCTTCCTGGGAAGTGACTGGACATTGCCTACTGATGGAAAGTAGAGAATAATTTTTTTTTATTATTATTCTGCACATGACCCTTGCTTTTATTAAACTTTCTTTATGACCCATGAGTTTTTTCCATCTTATTTTCTCCCATCCATCCTGTTGAGGAGGGGAGTGATAGAGAAGCTTGGTGGGCACCTGGCATCCAGTCAATCCACCACAGTCCTTTTTGGTGCCCAATGTGGGACTTGAGACAATGGCAGTTTTGTATTAAGTGTACTATAACTATAGTACTTATTAAGTGGCCAGCTCCTGTGCAGGACATGGAGTTTGTCAGCTGCACTGCTTATGTCTTTATTTTACTGAGTTTGGGAACATGCTAACACAAACAATGGCTCTGTGCTTTGCCCTGACATTGATGGCCTTACTCTGATGGGGGCACTATCTTGTGGAGAGGGAATGCTTCTCCCTCTGCCTACCTGGGATTGATGTGGATGGTTTAATTATGCAGGTTCCTGAGGTCCTTGTTCATCCTTATGTGCATGAGCTGTTTAATACTAGGAT